TTATGACTATTTCACAGATGGTGGAAATAGCAGACAATAATTATTTCATTTGTGCCAAGATGCCTAATAATCATTGTTGAAATAGAAATCAGAAGTCAAAATAGGTTGCATTTTGTTTCATTATTTTCTTGACAGCAGTTATTTTAGTTAACATTGTGACTCTACTTTTGCCCAATAAATTTGATAAAAATTAGTATTGTTCTGGACAACAAAATTTGTGAAAAATCAACACCTCTTTCTTTAAACGAACAAAACAACACTCCTCTCAAACACTCCGCTGAGGATAAGAATCTTTCAGAGTTTCAATGTTGATAATTTATTTCACTGTGACTAAATTAGGAGCATTTGGAAATTTAATATGGTGAGCATGACAGTACAAAAACTTTCTGTTTCTAACTGCCAGACCCAGCAGTCCTGTAAAAGTAAGTTCCTCATAACTTTATTGGCCAGCTCCTTAAAACTGTTGTCACAGAGGAAAGGTGCATGCTAGAATGATTAAATAAAGGATATTGCAGCCTGCTGTAAGATCCTAAGACATTTTTTTACATGACGCACTACCTACTGTGTGTTGCTATTGAATTATCCTGAGTATTCAGTAAGATCAAGTGCTCATTGCAAACTGGTTTGTCTTTGAAGCTGATCCGACTGTACCAGTTTCTGTCATCTATGAATGTGTCCTATGGTGATATGTCCTATGGTTTCATGTCCTCAAAATATCCTGTAACTCTGTCTCTTATATTTCAAGCTGAATGGGAAAAACCTTTCGATCCAAAATACACTAAAAAGCACAAATTCTTTGTGGATGGGAACAAGGCTGTTGAAGTACCGATGATGTTTGGAATGGGCCTGTTCAAGCATGGCTATGATGACCAGCTGTCTTCCACTGTAGTGCAAATGGATTACAAAGGAGGTGCTTCAGCGTTTTTTATTCTGCCTGATAAAGGAAGAATGAAGAAACTGGAGAAAAAATTGTCTTGTGAACGTATGTCAAGGTGGAAGACATTAGTCTCAAAAAGGTAAAATTCTGCAGTTCTTGGTTCAGATGGTAGGGAAGGAGACACACCAGTTTCAGTCTGGTGGGCTATGACACAGAATCAGGATACCATTTTTAGTTCTGTTTTAATCTACAGAAGAATTATCACTGACCAAAGCTGAAATCTGGCTCTCTGGTGTCTCTGTGTTTTCAAATTCAGTACTACACAAAGTGAAAACCTTCACAGCTTTAGGATTTTTGCTGTTTCCACATTTTGTTTCATATCTTCAACTCTCCATAGCCCCCAGCTTTCTTTCTTGAGACCTCACTTTTTTGGGGGACGTCTTCTGCCTTCTGCTATTTACAGCTAAATTACTATCACTTTCCTTTAACCTTTTTTAACCTTAGCAGCTAGCACATTGCAGAGCCACTGTATACAGGTTTTCTGAAGACTTAGGAAAGCAAAATTGGAATAAGTTGCAGTTGCTTCAAGGTATCTTTGAGACTAGAAGGCAGAAAGGTTATATGCTTTCTAAAAAAAACTTTAGACTCCTGTTTAGCTTCATGTGTAACAGCAGCCTTCGATTGGACAAAACATGTCTACAAAAATAGGCACATGTTTACAGAATCAAGACATTTTTTTCATTCATGAATCTGATGTGTCATGTTAGAGATCTTCACACATACACATTTGAAAATCCTAATTTAGGTTGTAATTCTTAAGACAAAAATTACATCCTAATACAGAAAACCAAAACCAGTGTCATGCTCTTCACTCTGATTAACTCTTAAATTTTATCAAAAGAATCTAATTTTTTTCTTAATTTTAAAAAAAGTATGTAGTTCCCTGTGCACCTTCACATTTTTGAAACTTTTAGGAGCAGCTATGTGGTTTGTGACTAAAATCACAGAGGACAGATAAGATGGTAAATCAAGATACTTGTGAATTATTTTTTCAAAGAAACATGATTAAAAGAAACATAATTTAAAATCAGCAAGGAAGACACTAAGTACAATAGGAGGGATTTATATTTCCTCTCTCTAGCCATTCCTCCCCAAAATGGAATAATCTACCTAAAAGCCATGAACAGGAGATGTGAATCTTATATTATAAAAAGGCATTACTGTCAAAGACCAGCTTGTTACATGTAGTTCCCCTTTTCTCGTCATGACTGTTCTTTCCTGCAAAATAACACAAACTCCTCTTTTTTCACTCTCTAATTTTCAAGCAACTGATTGCGTTTGCTATTCTTTGGAGTCTCTGGGAGGTCTTAATGAATGGGTTTGATGTAGGATATGGAATGATTTAAGGACTGTGAGAAAGCGATTTGTCCTGTTTCTCTGTCTGCAAACTGACATTGACACACGTTTCAGAAGTGTTGTGTGGAATGTTTTTCATAGCTGTTGGCTGTTGAACAGGGGATAGTGCCAAAGTATTGCCTGTAGAGGCAGCTGAGATCTATTTAATGGCTGAACTGTGGAGGAAACACCACTCTCTCTTCTGGAAAGTATATCCCAGTCCTTCCTGCCTGCTTACATTGCTGCTGTGTGCTTATGACTTTCCCTTTCCTGCATGTTGAAAGCAAGCAGGGGCTTGTGAATGAGTGTCTTTATGTAATAGCAAGAAAGATGATTCAATGATAGTTGCATACTCACTGGAGACAGCAATCAGCACACTCAGAAAGTAGGCAGAAGTGAGAGATCAGCAACCTGTTATCAATCCACTAGCGCTGTCATTTTTGGGTACCAGGCAGACTTAGCATTAGATGCTGTGCTACTCTGGGGGTATGGGCCCTCTCCTCCCCACTTGTCTGGGGGATGACTTGCTCTTTGCCCAGCTTCATTAAGTGCTCCACATCTCCCTGACCTGGAACACTGTACAGTTGTCCTGCTCTCTCACCAGAAAACAGTACCTCCTGTCAGCATTATCACGAACTTCTGTCACATTATGCAGCCTTTAGCGTAAGTGTTGTTTTTAACCTTTCAAAAGGAATTGTTACATCCTTACTGAAAAAGAAAGGAAGAAATGAGTCAGAAATATGGAGCTTTGAATTAATTTATGGAAAGCAGCAAACTAGTCACATATTGTCTTGTTCCTTTGGTTTATCTGTTTGTTTTCTCTGCCCTGATCTATATGATAAACACACAAGGCCAAGATTATTTTTTTTCCTCAAAATAGTAAGCAGTGAACTTTGCTGTGTTGGATTATTTTGTGCTCAGCCTGAGACACCTAAAAGAATCACTTTTTCACAAGGTGAATCCTCTGCATCCTCAGTAATGGAGCATGATGAAGGTGCTTCCAGAATGTACAAAATATCTCTAACTTCTGAAAACCTAATACGAAGATCCTTAGAGAGGTACTGTTGTGCTGAATGATCACTGGGTCAACCTTGCTGTTCATGTGCTGGCTTACTGCAGACTGTGAGCCAGCAACTACAGTGCTATCTTCTCAACCAGCCTTCCAACACTGTTATAAACCTTCTTTTCTTCTCCCCAAATTAATGTCACTATACACCTCCCACATAGAGAGAGCCTGCAAGCAATATGTCTTTGGGGAGAAATGAGTTTGTCTCTCGGGAGTCTGTGTTTTATACTGTGATATCTGATCAAAAGTTTCACCATATTCTTGCACTTCTTTTCTGGCAGCTCAGTAAATCTATATCTTCCAAAATTCACACTTTATGGGACATATAACCTAAAAAATATGTTATATAAAATGGGAATCATGGATGTATTCACTGATAAGGCTGATCTGTCTGGAATCACTGGGCAGCCCCAGCACAGAATTTCCCAGGTAAGTCATACTGCTTTCTGTTTTATGGGTGCATGGCTACTGATGCTACATCACTTTCTTTGCAACTATTTATGATGCAAAACTCATGTAAAGAGGCTTTGCTCCACATGATGACTGTTGGCATACAGAGTATTTTGCCCATGTTACTTACACTGTCAATGCACTTGAGTTGGAGCAGGTAAAAAATCTGTAAATTTTTAATCTAAAATGCCTTTTTGATCTTCATGGGGCAATGTTATAAAACAGACATAACCAAATCATCATCTATCCACACCTTGGAACCCTCTTGCAGTGTGCTGTTACAGTCATTACATTGCAGCTTCTGTTTGTGTCTACCTTCTTTAGCCTGACTGTGGGTAAGTAGGGGGCTGTAGGATGTATCCCTGCTTGTGTTTTATGGAGGGGAGAGGAAAACCACTGCCTGCTTTTAAACAGTTTGGGGGAAAGAGGAATGTCATTATTAAAAACATTTGGCTTCAAGTCTATGAGCAACTACTCTTATTAGTGCCAGGCCCAGGCAAAAGTTACAGATAAGTCATGCTTCAATAAACCTAGAGTTTAAAGCTGACAATCAGTGCAAATTTCATTGTCAAATATGAACAAAATGACTGCTCTCATAACGTCAGGTAGAGGTCAGTGAATTAGGGTCTGTGAATGACAATTTTGTAAGGTAAAAATTGCATATTTTTCTGTTCTAGATCCATTTATGACCTTTCTCTTTTGCTTCCATTTTTTCCAAGACATTAAGAAATATGAGAAACGTAATTTCAGGCTGCTATTTATTGTAATAATCTGCATGTTAATTCTTCAACTAGATGAACTTTTAATAGACAGCAAATATGATCTTGCTCTCTTTTTAGATAGCTCCACAACTCCGCACAAGTGTGAGAAAGGAATAAGAAAAGAAACAAAGCAAATGTTTTCACTAGCAGGGACATGCCCCTCCACCTTTTCTCTCTGGGGCTAAGAAAACTATGCTGCATGTAGCTTGCTGGGGTGTTTTCCAACTTTGCTGTCCTTGTGCAGTGGACTCACACATGTCCATCTGATGCTTGTTTCTTACCAATAACTTCTTCAGGCACTTTTAGCTCAAGTTCTTATTTAGGTGACTAGTTTTATACCCCCTTGACCTGTAACATGTTTGTTTCTTCACAGGCTATCCATAAGGCTGTGGTAAAGGTGGATGAGACCGGCACTGAAGCAGCAGCCGCCACAGGCATGGAAATAGTGCCCATGTCCAGACCAGCGATTATTAACTTCAACAGGCCCTTTGTATGCGTCATAATTATCAATAAGATTATAGTCTTCATGGGAAAAATTGTGAACCCACTGCAAAATGATTTTGATGTACATAATAGTTAAGAGGTGATCACCACTGACAAATCAAGTGCTTGAGTATGGCATGGCTACAGAGAGCTCTCCACCTCTTCACTGATGTTTTTCACTGTTTTTTGAAGATGAGACTCTTCATCAATTTAAGTTGTCATAGTTGCATGTTTGTTTGGGCCTTGTTTTTTTAATTTTTTTATTGTTCTTTTTTTAAAGAAGGTTGCGTTCAGGCAGAACTGTCATTAGATCTGGGACAAAGTAGGCCTGTGTGACAGCATAGATACATCTTCTAGCACGGAAGATGAGGAGCATGTGGGTGGAGAAGACTGTGTAAGCATGCTTCTCCCCTCATGGCTGCCTTCTCAGCTTTTTTTTTGTTGACTGTCAAATGGGTACAAGTTATGGCACTACTACTTGTACTCATTTTCCTACCAACATGAAGTTCATATCTAGCATAGATCTTAGTATGCATAATGCTTACTACCTTGCATAGTACCATTGTTGTCCAGTGAGTCTATTTCATCCTTGCCTTTCAGCTGTCGTCCCAGATAGGCTTCTGCAAAGGGGTCACAAAGAAGGTGTGTTTTTCCCCAGTAGATATATACTGGCCTGCCCACCATTTCTGTGAGAGTTTATAGTCCAGGACAAAAGTCAGAGGGCCTAGGATTGGGTCTAAGAAAAGAAGAGGTAGATCAGATCTCTGCAGTTCAGTGCCAACCTTTGTGAGTCAGATATACAGCTCAGAGCAGTCAGAAGACTACTTCTAGCCTATGCCTGCACCTAAACCAGCTTCTGAAGCCCTCAAGCAGCAGGAAACACAAGCCATCTCCCTGGGTGCCAGTGTTGGTACCATCACCGTCTCCCTAGGGAAGATTACCCATGGTAGTAAGCACCATTCCAGTATTGTTTGTAGGATCAAGCAGTAACACTTATACCCCATAAGTGACACTGTGTCTCTTGACATAACCCCTTCTGTTCCCAGACTGTCCAGTAATACAACATTGGTACTCTATTTCTCATCTGCTTTATGGTTAGCATAGTCACAATATTATAAGGATCTGTTTTCACTATTAAGATATACAATACTAAAAGTCACATTCATAATGCACATGCTAATTTATTTTTTCTTGTTTACTTTCCTATCTGTTTTTTCATCTGTTCTTCACAACATCTATCAGTATTTTATTTCTTTGCTCACGTTCGTGGTATATATCTGATCTCTGGTTGCAGCAGGGGTAAATTATTGACTAAAATGGGTTAGTCTGTTAATAGGTATTAAGCATTAACACCAGCCTTTGTACAGCCTTGAATATGCAGACAAATGTGCTATGGTAGAACAACAACAATGAATAAACATGACATTAAAAAGTGTCTAATTTTGGTATTTTATTTATATTATACAGAATAAAGACTGAAGTATGGTTCAAGCAGGTGTTTTTGGACACTGTCAAGAAATAGTTCTTAATATACTGCTCATACACATTAGATCAGTGTGGTAATGCCAGTAGTGAGCTTCAGAAAGCCTGCTGCTTTGACCTGAGCAGTAAATCCCTGTTCAGCACATAGTGTGTTATTTCTGTTAGGAGGAGGGCTTTTTGGGAAGGTTTTTGGGATTTCTTCAATGCAAAGATATTTTATTTCAAAGGCTATAGACAGCATGCTGCCCCTATTCTATCAAGTGTATAACTTCATTTGTGTCTTTTATCTCTCTTTTAAAAAGTTCTCTCTTCAATCCCTCTAATAGCTCTATTACCAGTCCTGGCATGTGTTTTGAGCTGTGGTTCCTGTTATTCCATAAACAAAATACGGGCTGTCTAGAATTTACCTTTTTAATACATAGCAATCCCAATTACAAGTACAGGCTGG